GCTAGTGAAATAAATCTCCTCTTCGTTCAAACGCCCCTTCTGTATATGTTATGTTTACTTTAGTTTTGTAATCGTTTTACGGCGCTCGCAACCGCATAAGGTCATATGAGCGCGCGAAACACAAGATTCTGAGTATGAGTTATCAAATTTTGTCTAAAAAAACAAGTTCTCAGAACTTACAACATTTGGCTACACCTTGTAAGGGTGCACAAAGTGACGAGCGGTTTCTACGTTGTAAGAGTTAAGCTCTTCGACATCGCAGGCTAAAGACCTGAGTTTGATCCGCGTGTTGTTGTTCCTTTTTTTCTTTTTTTTTTGCTGGGGTTTTTTGTTTTGTTTTGTTTTGTTTTTTCTAGGGGAGGGGGATTTATATTGAGTATCTCGATTCTTCTCTTTGAGCACTGTATCCCTCTCAGCCCGGGCTGGTCCTGATAGGCAGAGTCAAAACCAGCCACCTAAAATATCTAACTTGTGTCGAAGGGGATGTAAAACATCTACGTTTAAAAAAAAGAAACCAAACTGACAAAGGAAACAAGCAACAGACAAGGAAGCACAGTTTACTACAATGGGGCCCACCTCACGTCATTACGAACCATCCTGAAACAACAAGCCGAGACAAAATAGCGGCGGTCTTCCTCTGGCAGTGCTGCCCATCGTCTCTCAAGCGCGACTCCCTGCCTTCCACTCACTCCCTACCACCTGCACCTCCTCGGTGGTAGATGGCCCATTACTCCTGTGCGCGAGGGGGGAGACGACCACAGTCCATGTGTATCTCTCTCGGACCGAGGCGGCTTGAGCCAGAGCAGGACACGCGGAGAGACGGAGTGGGTGAGTGAGTGAGTGAGCGTTTGTGGTGTTTGTGTTGGTGTTGGAGGGGAAGGAAGAGATGGAAGGAAGATGGCTGGCAGAGAAGCAGGCAGGCAGGCAGGCGGGCAGAGACCCAGCCAGACACACGCACGCACGCACGCACGCGAACGTACTCACTCTCGCCGTCTGTCTGTCCTCCCTCACCAGCGCCGGAATCCTGGCGGCCAGTTGCGTTTTTTTGTGTTTTGTTTTGTTTTTGGGTTTCTTTTTCTTGTTGCTTTTCTTTTTCTTGCTCTTTTCTCCGATATCCACCCCCGCAGTGCCCTGAACGCGTGGGCTAAGCGCCAGTCCGGATGCATAGACAAACATAAAATGCGAAACTGTCTTGGACTGATGGAGTGCTTGGCTCGCCTTGCTGCCTGTCATTATCGTAAAATGGGAGAAACGGGTAGGGGAGGGAGGGGGAGACAGAGTGAGGGGGGTGGGGTGCA